TGCAGTTCAGGCTGGCCTTGAGCTCACTTTGTAGCCCAGGCTGATTTCAAACTTCCAATGATCCTCCAGCCTCAGCCTCCATGCGCTACTATACTGGCCTATTTTTTTCCTCTTTAAAATAAAAAATAAAAGGTACAACGTGAAAAAAATAATTTGTATTCTACAACTCAGAAACTGTTTCAAGTATGTAACTGGCGCAGGAAAAAAGAAAAAGAATTGCATGTGTACAAATAAATATTCATACTAGACGTGTGAGACTGTGCTTGGCAGTGCCATTGTAAAGCAAACCCAAACCATCAAGACGACAGGTTAGGTTATGGATGGGGTGAACTATAGCTCGCACACCTGGCCTCCAGGCAAAGATGGTAGACAAAAGTCTGGGTGGGTGGTGGTTACCTGGGAGGCAGGACAGGGCCATAGATGGCCCTGCTGTTCGGAGTGTCCATTGTCCATTGACCTGTCCATTCCAGGTCTCTATTAAATTATACTGTACAACTTAGGTACTTGTTCTGTGTATTCTCATGTAAAATGCAAAATACGAGTTTCAGATAACATGACAATTTTTAGTGGGAGGACATCCCTGTTGGCATTAAAACTCATTGTAAGTCTGAACTAAAAACCTAAAGTGTCTCACGTGGAAGAATGGAGGCCAGCTCACTCCGAGAGGTGTGGCACTCGTGTGAGGAGGAGTCTAATGCAGTGGTGGTGAACCTATGCCATATGTGTTTTAAGACTGGAGATGTTAATGTGTGAGTTACTTTTCCTAAACTAAAACCACACTGTTAAGGGCACTTCACAATAAATAAGTGAGTTTGGGGTTGCAGTCTTGGCACTTGATTCACTATCACTGGTCTAGTGGATCGGAGCTCATCAGGGCAGTGTACCTGGAGGTGATGCAGGCAGCTCATCTGTTCACATAGCATTGATGCTTTGACTCCTGAGGGAGGCTGCGGTGCACACTCTTGAGCTGGTCTTTGAGCACATGGTCTCAGCAGCCCAGAGCATCTTTTTGTGACTGTTGCCTAGTTATACGTATCTGTTAGTGACCTGTTAGGTGTTTTGCCTACTTTTTCAAAAGTTGTTGTTGGCAGGGATATAGCTCAGTAGTGCAAGTGCTTGCCTGGCAAGTGCAAAGTCCTGAGTTCAATTTCCAGTACCAAAAAACAAAACAAAAAAAGAAATGAGGCTAAAAGTTGGATTGTTGAATTGTTTTGTGTCTTTAGATTTGATATCTCAAAGGCATCTTCAAATTTATTTCATTTGAGGTTCTAGCTCATATGCTCCTTTTAAATTTATCCTGTCTATTCTCATTTCTACTGATGTAGTCTATTTCAAAACTGGTATTGCTGGGACAAAATACCTGGCACCCACAAGTTCAAAGGAGGAAAGGTTAATTCCAGCTTACAGTTTATAGAGGTTTCAGTCCATAGTTGGCTGGTTCCAAAGCAGGGTGGCATAGCAGAGGGGCATCACAGAGGAAAAACAGTTCATAGTATGGCAGGCAGAAGGCTACCTTCTTTCTCTCCCTTTATATTCCATCCAGGATTGTCTTGATTACTTTTCTCTCATTGCGGAGACAAAATATCTGACACCCAGAATTAAGGAAGGAAAGGTTTATTTAGCTCACTGTTTGTGGAGGTTTCAGTCCATACTTGGCTGGCTTCAAGGCAGAGTGGCACAGGGCACCCATTCATGGTGGCAGAAGATAGCAAAGCAGCAAGAGCAAAAGGGAAGAATAGTGGCAAGCAGCCTCTTTTCTCTCCCTTACATATGCAAACTACCCGCCCCAGGGTGGGTATAGCACTCACACCATAATCCCAGCATTAGACCATGGATGGATCATAAACTCTAGAAGCCTACCCCATGACTACATGAGGCTTTGTGGGGAATTCAGACACAAACCATAATAAAGATACAATCAGATTGATTGGTGCCACCCATGCTCAGGGTGGGGCTTCCATTAATTACACCCTTAATCCCAGTAGAACACTATTAATCCACATTCACACACTGTAATCCAGCCAGCTACCTTTGAAACTCCCCACCTATGAGTGCATGAGGCTTTGGGGGAACATTAGATACAAGCCATAGCACCTGGGTTACTGTGTAAATTTCATTGCTTTTGCTTATTTCTTTATCAGCATTAAAGTGGTTGAGTGGTTAAAGAGTGTTTTTTCCCTCTCCTACCCACACCTTAGCAGCTGCTCTCTTTTCTGTTTTCAGCCTTATGTTCTGGGTCTCTCTTTCCAGTACAGGTCTTTACCTGGCCCTCCTGGTCCTGGCTTCCTGAGTTGCTGTCTTACCTACATGCCTTCTCTTTCCTATGTTGTGAAATTAGCTCAGATTCTGTCACTTCCCGCTACTACTTGCTTGACACCCTCACCAGAGTCTGTTGACAGAGTCTCTTGACACCCTCTTCAGGTTATCTGTTAATGTGTGTGGCCTCAGTCTAGCTATGGGGTCCTTGAGGGCATTGCTGGGGTCTTCTGACTGCTGTGATCCCATCCCACTCCACTTGCCTGTGTTGAGTTGAATAGAGGTGAGCTGATGCAGTAGCCTGGGCTGAACTGCTTTCTTTGGTTTCTTGTGCAGTGGGCATCCCCACCATCAGATGGTGTGGAGCTGAAGGGGACTACAACGTCATGGTGATGGAGCTCCTGGGCCCAAGCCTGGAAGACCTCTTCAACTTCTGTTCAAGGAAATTCAGTCTCAAAACTGTTCTGCTGCTTGCTGACCAGATGGTAAGCACTCCTCTCTCAAGTGCCCAGTAGCACAAGGTGCTTGGCACACACTCGTTGACTTGATGGGACAAGTTACTCAGTTTCTGTTTCTGTTACTGTGCCTCTTGCTGCACACAGGGAAAACAGGGATTTGTTTTAACGAAGTGCTGCTCTGGAATTGAATTTCTTGCTATTGCTTTTCTGTTTGTAGATTAGTCGTATTGAATACATTCATTCAAAGAACTTCATCCACCGAGATGTAAAGCCAGATAACTTCCTCATGGGGCTGGGGAAGAAGGGCAATCTGGTCTATATCATCGACTTTGGGCTGGCCAAGAAGTACCGGGATGCAAGAACCCACCAGCACATCCCCTATCGAGAGAATAAGAACCTCACGGGCACGGCGCGGTATGCCTCCATCAACACCCACCTGGGAATTGGTGAGTCTTGGGTGTGCAGTTGCTGACCTGGGGTGCATTTGGCCTATCTGTCCCTTTGCTTGGGGAAAGGCGAGCTTCTCAGTGGCCTTAGGATTGTGAGCATGCATGGTGCTTTGACCCATGGGTCTGGAGGCCATTGTCCCACCTTTGTGGCAGACAGGCTGGCTTCAGTGACTATTGTGGCAGGGCAGGCAAGGCTGGCTTCTCTAGCAGTCATCTCAGACATTGATATTGCTCAGTCAAAGTGTTTGGGGATTTCCTCCATGGACAGGAAAGATGGCTGGTGAAGCAGTAGTCTGTTTATTCCATCATCATGTTTACTGAGTCTTTTTTTTTTTTTAATCCACTCACACATATACCATCCCTCATGTGTTTCCTTTTTCTTTCCAGAACAATCTCGAAGGGATGACTTGGAGTCTCTGGGGTACGTGCTGATGTACTTCAACCTGGGCTCTCTCCCCTGGCAGGGGCTGAAGGCTGCCACCAAGAGGCAAAAGTACGAGAGGATCAGTGAGAAGAAAATGTCCACTCCCATTGAAGTGCTGTGCAAAGGCTATCCCTGTGAGTTCCCTTGCTACCCGCCCAGCCCCACCTGTGTGAGCTGGCCTCTGGAAGGAGATGGTCAGCCTGGGTTTTTGTGACATGACTCACCTTCTACAAGAAGGGTGGCAGGACAGGGACAACAGTGTGTATGGAGGGAACAATCTACCCTCTGCTCTTTCTGACACATTCCTGAGATCCTCTCCGTGGAGGTGCCCAGGAGATGCCTGCCCAGTTAGGGAGGAAAAAGTGCTGATGTCCATACCTACCTTTTGTTTGAACTGACCACAACCTCCAAAGCCATAACCCAGGGGATATTCCTGTGTGCTGAGGGACTGACCCTGGGACAAGTACCCTAGGGAACATTAAATTGTGCTGGGTGTGGTGGCACATGCCTATAATCCCAGCTACTTAGGAGGCTAAGACAGCCTGGACAACTTAGTGAAACCGTATGTCAAAATTTTAAAAGCTGGGCATGGTGGCTCACACCCATAATCCCAGCACTCAGGAGGCTGAAGCAGGAAGATGATTGCAAGTTTGAGACCAGCCTGGGCTACAAAGTGAGCTCAAGACCAGCCTATATTGCATAATGAGACCCTGTCTCAAGAAAAATGAAAGAAAAATGTTTAAAAAGGGGCTGTGGATATAGCTGAATGGTAGAGTGGTCCTGAGTCAAGCCTTGGCACTATCAAAACAAAAAAACCTTTGCTGTGTGATGTCAGTGTTTTGGGCTTCTTCCCCGACTGCCGCCTTTTGCAGTGCTTTTTTTTGTGTTCTTGAACTCTAGAGCTGTTTGTATGCTAGGCAATTGCTCTCTGCCACTGAGCTGCATCCCCAGCCCTTTGGCATGGAATTTTGATATTTGAGATTTCTTGTTTTCACACCTTCCATGTGGAGATACGGGAGGTAAGTGGATGTAAATAGACCCTAGTCTGGGTCACAATCAGTAATGGAATGGCTCATCAGTGGAGTTTGTTTTACAGCTGAATTTGCCACGTACCTGAATTTCTGCCGTTCCTTGCGCTTTGATGACAAGCCTGACTACTCATACCTGCGCCAGCTCTTCAGGAATCTGTTCCATCGCCAAGGCTTCTCCTACGACTATGTGTTCGACTGGAACATGCTTAAGTTTGTAAGTGCCACTGCCAGCTCAGTCTTGTGGGATAGAAGCAGGTCAAGCCTGGAGTGGGTGGTGGCTGCCACATCCCAGGCCAGGTCTTGTACACAGGGCTCAGGTTTTACAGTGTGTTCATTTGCCAGGTTGTGAAAGGTGAGCCCACTGGGTAGGACTGTGGCCCAGGGGTAGGCATCTTACCTGCCTGACCCAAGGTACCAAGAAGCAGGATGCTGCTGGGGCAAGCACAAGGCTGATGGAGGCTGTGGGGATTGGCGGCAAGGTTGTGGAGTGTGCCCTTGGGCAGGTCTGCCCAGAGACAGTGCCCTTATGGTTGCTTAGTCCTCCTTAGTGGAAAGGCCATTCTGCTGTAATAGCCCTCACTAGTTCCAAGGGCTTTGTTGGTGGTGACGTGTGTTACTTGCACAGTGACTTGGAGGAAGCCTGGTAGTGTCTGGGACCCTGCCCCACCCTTACCTAGCCTCACCTGGGTTCAGGGTCGGTAGCCTGGTACTGAGCCTACATGGGAGCCTTGTAGGCAAGTTGTGTTCGGTTTCTTTCATTACCCTAGTTTGACCACCAGAGGCGTGTGTCGACCCCTGGGTGTGGGCAAGGAGGCCTTGGAGCTTCTGGGCCAGAAAAATCAAGCTTCTGTGGCACTTTCCAGATCTTCGATTAAAGTCACTTTTATAGTTTAGTATAATAATTGCCACCCTCCCAGGCAAGAGCATCTACTAATAGAGGAGTAGAACTGCCTTCACAGAGATGCGAACCAGAAGTCTTACGTGGCAGTCATACCACAGTAAAGCTCTTGGCAGGGGCAGGGTAAGCTAGAAGTGTCTAGCCAGGCCTGGTGCTGGGAAGAAAGTACCCTGCAGAGTGGGTGGCCCAGAGAGCCCTCTGCCAATAGGATTAGTGCTGTGTCTACAGACTCTTCATTGTCTGGGTGTCAGAGTCTCCCTGCCACACAGTGATTCCAATATGCCCAGTTTGTTGCAGGTGACAGACTTGCTCAGAAAAGGGCCAAGAGATTCATTTTGTTAGCTTTATAGGGTTGCAGCCCCTCTGCCCAGCCACATAAGTTGACAGAAGCTGAGGGCCACCTGGAAGTGGACGGCATGACTGTGTCCAGTGGAATAGGTGTACCAAGAGGCAGCCACAGAGCATTGTTTGCAGACCCTTGCCGGGTAGCATTGGTGATGAGAGTAGAACTTAACACTGTGTGGCTGTGTTAATTGGCTGCTTAAGATTGAATGTGGCATGTGTCAGGTTGGTGTAGTGTAAAACTGGCTGCCAGCCTCACCATTGGCCTATGCGTCCTTGGCATGGATAGCGTCCACAGTAACATGACAGTAGGCATGGGCCAGAGGCCTGGACTCTGGTTGGACACACTGTGAACCCACATTCCTGTCTCTGACCTGGCTCATGCTCTCCTACATACCAGCATGTTAATAGAGAGAGGATTGGTGCTGTTGCTGTGGCAGTAGGGTGGGAGTTCCTGCAGTGTGTTGGGAATTAGAAGAGGCACCCTGGCCATTCCTACAGATTGTATCATCATCCCTGTGCAGAGGAATGTTGTTTTCTGACTTGCTGTGCTGTTGCAGACAGCTTTACAGGGCAAATCACACCTCAAGGTACTGAGGAGAGCCAGTGGCTTTGGGCTGCTTTGCACCAAATCCAAATCTGTCCTCACCTCCTTCGCTTCCTCAGGGTGCCAGCCGGGCTGCAGATGATGCCGAACGGGAACGCCGGGACCGAGAGGAGCGATTGAGACACTCCCGGAATCCAGCCACCCGCGGCCTCCCTTCCACAGCTTCTGGCCGCCTTCGGGGGACCCAAGAAGTGGCCCCCCCCACGCCCCTGACCCCTACCTCACACACGGGTAAGTGCATTTCATAGCGTGTGGTCTCATGGAGCCTGGGCAGGTACACTTGGTGGTTGATGTAACTCGTACCCTCACTTCAGTCAGTTCTTATCCTGAGTGTAGATGGGCTCAGGACACCTTTAAAAACATCCCTTTACCAGGACCTGATCTGTTAAAAGATTTGAGTTCTTGAAAGGTGGTATGAGTGTTTGAAATTGCTCATATAAAATTTTCTGCTCATAGTATGTGTCTCCCCCATGCACCTTTAAGTCCTCACTCCTAAGTCCTGGATATTGGGGCCTTGGGGCACATTCCCACCACTAGCTGATGCTCCTGAGCTAGCTGGATCCCTATGCTGGTGAAAGGTATTGGTGCTGCCCCTGGAGAGGGGAGCCCATCCAGAGCCCAGGGAGGTGGGTACAGAGTGGGGGACTGGACAGTGGCCTGATCCGTGTGTTGAGTGAGCAGAGCTGTCAGCCACTGCTGCATCTGTGGGAGCAGCCAGGGTTCCTCAGGATCCATGCTCTTTCTCCCCTCCAGCTAACACCTCCCCTCGGCCTGTCTCCGGTATGGAGCGAGAGCGGAAAGTGAGCATGCGGCTGCACCGTGGGGCACCGGTCAATGTCTCCTCCTCTGATCTCACAGGCCGACAAGATACCTCTCGCATGTCCACCTCACAGGTATGTAGGCTAGGGCCAGCCAAGTTTGGAGGGGAGGGGATGTCAGCAAGTATAGGCCCCGGACCTCTCCCTTACTCTGTGTGGACTGGTCTAACATACATGCTGAGTTGAGAGTGGGATGGTATTTGTGAAAGGGCTGATGCCTTCCTTTCCTCTTCTTTTTTTCCCTGTTTTTGAGGATTTCTTAACCGGTGGGGAGTTGGATTCCTGGATGTGTGTTGCTTCCTGGTTGGAGCTTGAGACAGCTGAGCTACTGAGGGCCTGTGTCCCAGCCTCGTGATGACAGTAGCAGTGCACTGTGGGAATCCTTCTCTTGGGTTGCTTGATTTCCAGCTACCACCCTGCAGACTGGACTCCACAGGCCTGCTCGCACTTTGTGGGGGCAATGACTTTCAGCTTCTTTCCTCGTTTTTGCTCACCAGGAGCGAAGTGCCTGGAGAGGGAGCAGCTCCCAGGAAGGGCTCCTGTGGGCTGTGAGCTGCTTGTCTTCTTTTGGCCCTGTCTGTCTCTGATGTGGGGGGTGTTCAGGGAGCTAGGCCTACAGCACTAGAATATGGGACAGAGTCTTCTTCCTCTGCAACCATCTTTCCTCTGCATCCTCCTCACTCTGCTTTTATTGTTCATGTTGTGCATTTGCTAATGTGCTTCTCTGAACAAACCAGAACATTTTTATATACATATGTACCAGTTTCTTTTTCTCAGATAAATTTGAGAGTTCTCCACTTGAAGGGGTCGGGTGGGGTGGGACAAGTTCTCAGGAGCTGTTCCTGCACCAGTAAGCATTTCAGGGGGTGCCTGGTTCCACAAGGAGTCTCATCAGGTGAGCAGAAGCTCATGGTAGAAATGCCCTGGCAGCAGCCCCAGTTCTTTGTCATGCCATAGTGTCTGTCTGTTGACTAGGAGGAGCTCAGAGTGGCTCACTGCTCAGTGCATAGGGTCCCTTGGGGCCTGGTGTGGTAAGCAGCAAGGCCACCAAGACCAGCAATCTTAGAATGAGTAGCTTCCTGAACATTTCTGATCAGCTAGACATTGTATCAGAAATGGACTGGTTTTATTGTGTAATAGCTTTTTCCTAGTAAGAGCAGATATGCAGGGGGAGTTTGTGTGTGGGGGGGGTGTCCCCCATTGAACCCAGGCTATCACTGTGGGCTGTGTCCCCAGTCCACCGCCACATCTGGTCAGAGGGTTATTTGAAATGCAGGCTAGGCAGGATCTGACCAGCATCATGACTGAGCCCCTTAGCACACACACGCAGGTCCTGGGTGAGATCTGTCTGCCACGGTCCTAGCCTCCAGTGGACTTGGACATATTTGTGTCAGCTGTCTTGCAAGCATGGACTAGGGAAGAGGCAACCTTTATGTGTGTGAACATTGAGAGAAATGAGTGAGTTGAAAGGTTCTGGGGTGCTGGCAGTGCAGCATCTCCTTGTCTGCTTTGTAGCCATCTCAGCCTCAAAATAGCAGGAAAAAATGCCCTTCCTCTTGTCCTTCCTTCTATGTGGCACTCTTGGGGTCAGACTGTCTGCTGGCTTGGACTGTTTGCAGTGAAGAATTGTAACACAGGTGTGAACTCAGGGAGGGTCAGATGTGTATCTTCCAGAGGAAGCACCTCGGCTTTTCCTCTAGCCACCCTGGGTTTCTAGACTGTTTGCATTCAGGCTGTCCCCATGTACTGACCTCTCCAAGATTGGTTCCTCTTTGGCCACCATCTTGAGAGTTTCACTGGGACCTGAAGGGGTCTGCCCAGTGTGCTCGTCCAGGGCAAGAGCTGTTCCTCCATCAGTGCACCCCCACACATGCACTCTGGCAGTTTGGAAGCTGGAAGGCTGGGAGGTGAGGGGTCGCTCCAGGAGTGCCTACAGTTCTGTGGCCTCCACTCTCACGTTGTCCTAGAGAGAGTTGGCCACTGGATTAGCAGGCACTGCATGTGTAGACACAGGATCATGGCAACCACGCTGTGCCAACTGAGCTTTCTCCTCGGCTGCTGTTCTTTGTCCTCTCAGCCCCTCTAGGTGTGGTGCATCTAGTCAGCAGAGAGGCTTCATGGGGCTCCCTTGTCCTCATTCCCCTGCCCACGTGCAATGGCCCCACAGCACAGCACAGGTCACTGAGTGGCCTTCTTGGTGGTGCAGGGCCTCGCCCCCACCTGGGCTTTGCAGGAGGCCAGCTGCTCCCTCCTTGGCACCGTCCCTTCTGAAGGGCACCTTGCCTTAGGCCATGCCTCTGGGGAGACCACAGTCCCATTTCCCAGTCTGTAAGTCAGTTCTTGGATCTGCGGGGCGTCTGGTCAGTGAATCCATTTAGGTTTTTTTCTCTTTGTGAGAAAGGGCCTTCTCTGTCCAGTTTGCACCCTTCCCAAAAATAGATCAGCAGCCCCGATGCACCTGTGAGTGAGGAAGTGTGACCCATGTGTGTTTGGGGAGGTTCCATCCCTCCACCTGCTCCAGGGTCTGTCCTGTGCCCTTGTGGATTCTGGAGAAGGAACAGTGGCTGCTCCCAAAGGCTAGTCATGAGAGGCAGGTGAGCTGTGTAGAGAGACTGGCCATTCCCAAGGGGTCCCTGAGGTGGCACCCATCAGTGTCTGTGGACCTGCTGAGGAGAGGAAACACATCTGTACTCAGGCCTGACATGGGTGTCAGGGGGCCGGGGCCTTGTATGCTGGTCTGGCCAGCGGGGCGCTTACCAACCGCTGTCTTTTCCCCACCTCAGAATAGCATTCCTTTCGAACACCACGGCAAGTAGCTGCTCGTCTCCGTCGGAAGGCAGCACTGGGTGAGTGTGCTTATGGTGGGGCTCGCAGACCACTCCCCATCCCATCATAGGGCTCGCAGGCGGGCTGGGCTTGCATGCTAGGTGCTGGAGGCATAGTGAGGCTTCTTCTGCTTTGTTCTTCTCATGTGAGCTCCAGAGCAGCAGCAGTCAGCATCCCATCTGAGGGAGAGAACCATCCTCGATCTCTAGATGGAGCAACCGTAGGGGGCGGGCCTGCCGTGTCCTTGGCCACTGGCCTCCCTGTGACTGCATTCAATGTGTCGGTGCTGTCCTCTGCCCTGGGCACTGGTCAGGCCTCCCCCCCAGCTGCCCTGTCCTGGGCTGTACTGGGACTTGTGTCTGTTGTGCTCAGCTGAGTGGCGCCACGCTTGGTGTTGGGGCTCTTGAGCTCTTGCTTCGTTCAGACTCCTGGTGGTCTCTCCCCATCCTGGCTTACTTAGTCACCCCTCTTCCTCTCTCATTTATCTCTGTCCTCATTCTGTGTTTCTTTCCAAACTTGGTCCCAGCCTTGCCATCTCGTCCCTGCAGCTGTTGTCTGTATTAACCCATCCAGCCACAGCCACCTACTCCCTGCGCCGGTGCATGGCTGGGTGTCCACCCTGAGCTCCCTTCTTGTCAGCCACTCAGTGGCGCCTTCTAGCAGGGGCTTGAGCTTCTGAGGAATTTCATGCCACCCAGAGACCTGCTGTGCATACTCTTGGAAGTGTGTGGGTAAGGACTGCTTTAGTGTCTTCCCTGCAGAGGGATTCCTGTTTTCAAACCGTCTAGTTACTTTCCAGGAAGAGACGCTGGGAACACGTGTCTGCCCCAGTGGATCCTCAGGATCAACTCTGCGCTCTCCTTGCTTGCATGCCTCTTCTTCCTTCCCCTTCTTGCTGTTGTCTGCTCAGCAGTGTCCAGGCTGTGGAGGTCTCATTTTGCAGCCACGGGTATAGGTGTCTAGGTGGGAACCAGGTGGCAATGTGTCCTTTACTTTTCAGGCTCCATGACTGGTATTTGTCCCCGGCACCTGGCTGGCTGTTGCTCTGTCCTCATGCTGACCTTCTCCTATGCTTTGGCTCCGACAGATTCCCAGTCGGGTGGCTTCCAGTGGTCTTCAGTCTGTCGTGCACCGATGAGAACTCTCCTTTTTGCTGTGAAGGGCAGACAATGCATGGCTGATCTACTCTGTTACCAATGGCTTTACTAGTGACACGCCCCCTGGTCTAGACTCGAAATGTTCACACCGGGAGCTCTCCAGGCCACTCACCCAGCGATGCTCGTGGGGAATCCAAATACAGACTAAACGGACAGGCTCCGAGAGCTGCCACCCACCGCCAGGGGCTGGCACCATGGCCCCTACAGAAGCTCAGTTACCACAGGGCTGGGAAGACGAGCAGAGTGTGGGAGACGTTGCAGAGACCCCAACTCCCTGCCGCGAGCCTCTCCACCCCTCCAGTGGTGGCCAACCTACGCTCCCTGCGATCCCACTGCAACTACCAGTCTTCTACTTGGTTAAGACAGTTTTGTATCATTTTGCTAAAAATTACTGGCTTAAATCTGTGTAAATCTGTCTTTTTATTGTTTCTTTCTTGTCTGTTTTTGCGGTCTTAAAAAAGATGTTGACTTTAAAGACTCCTAAGGTAGACACTGGCTTGCCGTGTCTGTGGAGTCAGAGAGGGGCACACAAATGTCAAGGATGTGCGTTCCATTTCTGTTTTCTGTGTTGTGTTGTCCACTGTGGAGAAGGAACGTCTCATCAGAAGCTGTGTGTGCGTGTGTGTCTGTGCGTGTCACAGGCCCCTCAGCTCAGTTCTGGCCTTGTTCACCCTCCCTTCTGTAAGCTGAAATACCTGCTGTCGTCAGCGCACTAGAAAGCGTGGCTACTGCAGAGCAAGTGTGCTCAGTGTGTTGCTCAGAACGTCGTGCCTTTCTGCCCAGAGGAGGCAAGGAGGAAGTGAGGGACTCTGAAGGATTGGGCACAGAGGCCTTTAGAGCCCATAGGTAGTCTGGATTAAAGTTGGGTGTGCGTTTCTGATTTCTGACTCAGAGACATGGGGGTTGTGTAGGGGGTTGTGTATGGTATTTTGGTAGTGTTTGTTGCCTTTATGCCTTTGAATTGGGGAGTTTCTGAACAGACAAATACTGCCATGCAGATTGGCACTTGGTCTGTGTCTTTGCCTGCTCAAAGCCAGGGAGCAAGTTGTCCTCCTAGGCGCCAAGTTTGCCCAGAAAGGCTACTGGCTGAAGGGAGTCCACCTAGAGGTGCCAAGAGGCAGGTGACTGCCCACCTCAATCTAGAACCCTCATCTCCAGAAAGATGTGGTGCCACATGCTTTGTGACCTTCAGCCAGATGTCTGTCGGGGAAGCCGTGGCTGCCCAGGAGAGGCACCTTCTGCAAGCTGGCCTGCCACTGGCAGTTAGGATCCTCAGATACTCTTCCCTGCCTGTGATTGTGTCCAGCATATGTACTGCTTGGTGGAGGTGGCAGCAGGCCTGAGCGACCCTTGGGGACACGATGCAGTATGTGTTTATGGGTCCACCTCTGTTTCTGCCTACCATTGTATGGAGAGTTCTGCTGGGGCCAGGGTGCTCTCGGAGGGGCTGATGGTGCCACCGTGGCTTTCCCCTCCTAACCCAGAGACCCCCAGCACAGAGCTCTTGGCCCTGGTGTACAGTGGCACATTCCGGTGTGCGGCCATTTGCTGTCCCAGCCATCCGTCTGAGCCTGTAGATGCTCCTCTGAATCCTGAGCTGGCTACTCTGCAAACATTTTGGGGTGTAGGGCCTTGAGCAGAAGGGCTGTGCATCTGTGTGCATTAGGAACTCAGGTGGGTCAGATAAGGTTGAGGTGTCCATGGTTGTGAGCCCCTTCCTTATTAGTTTTGGGCTCCCACTGTCAATGAGCTGGTGAGGGTGGCAGCAGACCTACACACAAGCTCTTTGTAAATAGCCATGGTCCCCAGCAGTGCCAGAGAGCAATGCCAGGCAGCCTCCAGATACTGCACCACATGCATCCTGGAGCTGCTGGTTGCTGTGGGAGTGGACCCGCCTGAGCCCTCGAGGGTGTGGCTGTGATGTTCTTGCCCAATAGTTAATCCCCATCACACTTACAGGAAACATAGTTAGAATGTGTGTATCAACCTATGTCTTGGTGACCAGTCTCTGAGCTGTGCGTTTGTACTACCACTGTATTTGTGTACTTTAACAATTGTGTAAATAATAAATTCATAATGACTTCTACGTTTCTTCCCTGCCCCTTTCGTGTGGTGTTTATTTCATCAGCTGAGAATTTTTAGTGGATTTGGATTAACTATGCAAAAACTGACCTTTTCTTTTTCCCCTGCCTTTCCTCCTTTTTGTGGTACTGGGGACCTGGCCAAGGCTTTCAGTGAGGTACATCCCCAGCTGTTTTTTATTTTGAGACTGTATTGCTAAGTTGCCCTGGCTAGACTTGAACTCGTGCGACCTTTGTACCTCTGCTTCCCAGAGTGCTGGGATTTACAGGCCTGCATTCTCGGCAGCTGGCTGAATACTTCGCGTATTCTTATCCTTGCTCAGCCTGTGGGTGTTTGGTAGCTGGTTGGAGCAGGCACCAGGATGCTCCCCACTTGGGCTGTGGTGTGCATAGGTGGGGTCCATGCACCACTCAGGTGTATTGTGTGTGATGTTTCTGAGAGCCCCTCTCCCCTTGGTTAAACATCTTAGGACATAGGCCAGCAAGCTCTGTGTCCCACTGTGTAGCCCTGGTGCCTTAGATTTCCTAGAAAGTAGACAGGGCAGGAATTAAGCAATCTGACCTGTCCACCTTCCAGGGAGGGCAGCTGCCCACTCCCTCAGCTCAGTGCACCATTTGGCAGAGCTCTGCAACCCGCTCGCTTTAGCTCCCCACAGGAGCAGGTAGAGGGCAACAGGCCTGGGCCTGCCCTTTCTCTGGGATAGTCATCTGCATTTTGTGTGCTGACCAGCTCTGGGCATCCAGGTATGCACCAGCAGGACTTCTAGTCCACACTCACTTGGAGGTTGCCGGAGTTAAGAACATGCTGGAGAGAACTCCACAGCATCCCCTTGAACCACTGCCTTATTGTCCCTCTGGCCACTACTAGGCACCCCAGCCAGGAGTCCCAGACTACTCCAGTTTTGGGTTTTTTTTTTTTTTTTTTTTAAGCTCCTCTTTTAGCTGTTGTATGCCTGGGCATCCCATGTTGGCTTCTCATTTGTCTCACTGGAGAAGCTAGTGAGGACCTCTCAACCTCCCCTGCTGGTTGTAGGAGACACCCTCACCAGCTCTGCCCATATCAGCACCTTCCCCAGCCCAGTGTGCACTCCCTCCATTTGGGAGGGGTCTGGATGGCTATACCTTGCTGGGACATCTTGTGGGGTTGGGTTTTTAGAGCGTGAACTTTGGCACCTGAATGTGCCCCAACAGGGCAGGCCTATCATGGCTGTGCCCGTGCCATGGCACCCCAGCCCCTACTCCCAGCACTCAGTGGCCTTCCTGGATTCTTTTGGCCCTTTGCCTTATGACTTGCCTGCCAGGTCAGTGTCACCACGCTGGATGCCTGGCAGCCCAGCTTGAGCACAGCATGTGCCCTTTTCTGTTGGGAAAATAGAACCAGAAATGCTGGCAGAGAAGAGTCTGCTCACTGTGGGGAGCCCAGGGTGCTACATGCAAGTGGTGGCCTCACCAGGCCACATAGGTCTAGGGTGCTTCAGGGCCATGCAGCCTCTCCCTTCAAGGTGGGCCCCTCTCTATGAAACCACAGCCATCTTCCCAGGGAGCAAGCCCAACATCTTCACCATTTCAGAATTGCTTGTGGCCCCAGAGCCTGCCTTGGGGATCACCATTTCCTGACAGTTCCATGTTGACCAGCCATGCGCTGATACAAGCATAGGATAGGACTGGAGGAAGGTGTCCTGCTGGGCATGAGATTAGCTGTATGCCAGGTGAAGGATGGCCACCAGGTGAGGTCAGATTCATGGGCCATTCCAGGAACATGCTCCATCCTGTCGGCCACACTAGTGTAACTGCCATGGCCAGCAGGGCCAGTCAGGTCTGGGAGGAGAAGAGTAGATTTGGAGGCGCCAAGGACCCTGAGCAACAGAGGTAGCTAGGAAGAGGGAGGAGCCAGGCAGGTGTTTACTGAGGCCTGGCACTCCCATTGAAATGCCACTACTCCCCACAGCCTTGTCCCTTTCCTTCCTGTTTCTGGAAGCAGCTGATTCCCATGTTTGGGGTCCACCACATCCTGGGGCCTGGGGCTTCTACTGTTCCCACGCCACATGGTAAGGTTGGTACACAGGGCAGATCCTTCCAGAATATGTGTGGTTGTTGGGCGTCAGGGCTGGGCAGTGACCCCTTAAGGTACCAGCACTGCCCATCAGCTTAGTCCCTAGCAGAGGGGAGGAGTCATCTGAGCCACAGGCTGTAGGGAGGTGCCTGGGCTGCAGTCACCCAGCTTCTTCAAAGAGCTGGATGGGACCAGGGCCCACAGGGGCAGAAGGGAGGTGGACCAAGACGTGAGCTCTTGCCTCCTTTTCATTGCAGAGGAGCAGGGATGTGGCATCTCTCCGGCTGCACATGGCCCGCCAGGGTGCTCGCTGCCGTCCCCAGCGCCCACGACGTACCACCTACTGAGGCACCCCAGCACCCTCTGACCAGGCTCCCAGCCATGCAGGCCACCGCTGGCCACGAGGGCAGGTGGGTGTGAGGTACCCAGGGCCAGCCAGAGCTCTGAGTGCAGGCTGGATGGAGAACGGGGAGCAGAGATCAGCGGACACTGACCACTCAGAGCAAAGTGACCAGCCCACCCGAGGGGTGAATAAATGGAAGGCAGGAAAATGTATGTTTTAAGCCCACATGCAGTAAACAGAGCACATACACTGTGTCTCAGGTCAGTGCATTCAGCACTTGGGCTCCCACAGTCTAGAGATCAGTCAGGAGGTGCAAAACCACTTCCTGGAGCTTCCAGCAACTCACTGGGCCCCCCTCTTGCACACAGTGCCTCCCCCTGCCAGCCCTTTTGCTCAATGCCCTGTGAACACACCCTGCCAAGCAACCCCCACCTGCTCCTGCCGAGTCTAGGCTGGGAGGGCCAGCAGGAGACACTCCAGAGCCCACAGTACCGGGAAAGCTGACAAAGACAGGACCACTTGTAGGAATAACCAGGTTGTTTCCTGATGGAACTGAGACTTGGGATGAACAAACACAGCACAGAACTGCACCAGCAAGTCCCTCCAAGGCTCTAGCCACACAGATTTCTCTCTCACACCTTCCCTTCCTGGGTAGGCAAGAGGGATAGACTCTGCAGGAGAGGAGGGCAGGACGTGGGATCAGGCCCCAGGGAGAACCCCGCCAGCAGTCCTGGCCTACAATTAAAGTGGTGTTGTCTCAGAAGTCTGGGTTTCTAGGTCCTTGACCACAGTGAGGCACAGGCTGCTTGGGGTCTGCAGGCTGGGTCCCTTGGTGCAGACAGCTTATAACTGTGTGGCCTGGCTTCACTGCAGATCCACTTTGGAATGACATGATCCCCCTTCGCTGCCTTCCTACACAGAACAGATCAGGTAGTGACCCAGCAACTAGGCAGCCAGCTCTGTACCCCAGTACAGAGCTGATGGCCTCGCCTGAGCTAGTCCTGTTGGTGAAATAAATATGTGTTGCCAGTCTCTGTACCTCTTCCCTGTGCCCTGCCGGCCCCAGCCAGGCTGCTCATACACTGGTTTCCGGAGTGTGAACCACTTCCCCATTTTTCTCAGGCTCTGCCTTCAGGAAGTGCTCCACCTCCCGAGAGTCCACTCTCATATCCACGGGGGCCTTATGGAGCTTCTCCTCCTCTGAGGCCGAGGTCGCTGCCTCAGGCTTCGATGCCTCGGGTCTGTTCCTGATGCAGAAGTTGCCCAACAGCAGTACGAGGGAGGAGGTGAGCACCTCGACGCCCGCCAGGATGAACACATACTTGTAAACGTGTGTTGCGTCCAGCAGCTTGCCTGTGAGAGGACCTGGGTCACCAGCGGTGCCTATAGAAAACACAGGTGCCTCCCGGGGTGTCTAGCTGGTATACCAGGGAAGTGAGGCAGACCACTGCGGAACAGGCACCTTGCTGACTCAAGCACCATCCACAGAGGCTTTCTTTTGCCCTCTCCACTTCTTCCTCCCCCAAGCAAAGGCTAAGAAGCTGAAAGCAAGTGGCATTGAGGGTTTGCAGAGTCACGGGGCAGGGCTCCCCCTGCCAGGCATGGAAGAGCCTTCCTGTGGCCTCCTGGGGCATTACTGGGCTCTGCCAGCCTTGTACTCCATGATCAAGGACCCTGAGACATGGAGGGCTAGACGGGGTGGCTCAGGGTGCTCTCTTGCATCCCAGGACCTTGCTAGGGTAAAGGAGGAATCAGAGGCTACATGAGGCTCACATGGGGGCTACAGGGTGGGCACAGTGACCTCCCATGGGCCAGCGCCTGGCCAGGCTGCCCCTCCAGTGGAAAACCATAAACTTCACCTCAGATGGGCCCAGCTATCCACTCACTCCTGACATTTGTAGCCTGGGCCTCCCAGTTCTGGGTCCCTAGGAGTGTCCCCCAACTCCCCAGAAGTACTCACCGCCCGACGGGGGTCCAATGAGCACAGCTACGGCCTCCATTAGCAGCACCAGGCCAATGGCACTGGAGAACTTGTGGGTACCCACAATGGCCATGAGCACCTCAAACTGCAGGGCACCCACCATGCCATAGGAGATGCCAAAGAAGATGCAGAACACTACCAGGCCCCCGTAGTTGCTGGCCGTGGAGCCTGTCAGGTCAGTGAAGCCATTGAAGAACATGGAGAAACTGAAGAGGTAGACAGAGTAGGGCCGAACCTTCTTGAGCCCCGTGATGAAGCCGGCAGTTGGCCGGGCAAAGATGTCAATGAAGCCCAGGATGGTGAGCAGGAAAGCAGCCTTCGTGTCAGGTACACCCAGGTCCTTGGCATAGCTCACTACAAACACGGGTGGCACGAAGAGCCCCAACACCATGATGGAGGCAGCAACAGCATAGATGACGAAGCCGCGGTCCCGGAAGACACTCAGGTCCAGCAGCCGCCTGGACGTCTGCTGCGGCCTGGGCCCCCCGCCCGCCTTGGGAGCCACCAGTGGCCTCATGAGTGCGGCACACACACAGCAATTGAGCAGCAGGCCACCCAGGATGAGGAAGCCGCCCCGCCACCCATAGTGGTCCTGCAGCACCTGCCCCAGTGGGGACAGTGCGCACAGGAACACCGGGCTGCCTGCTGCTGCCAGCCCGTTGGCAATGGGACGCCGCTTACTGAAGTATCGGTTGAGCATGATGAGAGAGGGCTGGAAGTTGAGGGCCAGACCCAAGCCTGTGGAGAGGGGGTGGTATGAGAATGTCTGCCTATCCCTGGCCCCCACCAGCACCTCCCCAAGGGCAGGCTGCAGCTCTGTCCTGAGTAGTGGTCCATGTGGATCTGAGGGTGCTCATAGGGTAGCAGGGAGTAGATGAAGCCCCAGCCACCCCTGCTTGTGTCCACTGCGACCCTGAACTGTTTCTGATAGGAGGGGAACACATGTCTAAGACATCCTATTCAAAAGCCCAGTGCTCAGTCCATCCATCCCCCCATCTGCCAACACCCAACGGCCATCAGCCGGGCCTCACTCACCAGTAACGACCCCTGCCGTGAGGTAGAGCTGAATAATGCTCGTGCAGAAGGACGCAGCCACCATGCCCAAGGACGCGAAGAGGCCACCCACAAGCATGACGGGCCGGCAGCCAAAGCGGTTCACACACACACTACAGAGTGGGCCTGTAGGGAGGCAGCTGCTGGGGTCAGGCTGGCCCAGGCCTCCAGCCAGGCTCTGCCCTCTGCAAGGCCAGTGGGAGCCCAAGGTCATCAGCCCCAGCCCCTCTACCTGCCCAAGGTCACACCCTACCAGACACCTCCACTCAGCAAGTGTGCCAAAAGCTCCCGGGACCAGGGCCAGAGGGCAGGTTGCACGTGGACACTGGAGACACAGCCTCACCATGGAACTGATCTGAGCCCTGCTGCTGGTCTTCAAGGATTTGCCATCATTTAAGGAACAGTTCATGGGAGCCTCATCCTCTGGGACTGTCTATAAATACTGCCCATTTGTTTGGCCAGGTGCCAAGACGTGTCACCAAGGCCAGATCCACCTGGCCTGTAGGGAACATGCTGCTCCCCAGCAGGATCCTGTCTTGAGGGCTTCCCTCCAGGCTTCTGGAATCTGAGATGAGCCCCCACCCCCTTGAACCTCTGGATCAGCCAGTCCAAAGCCCCAAACCAGGGGCCCACTATGTGGAAGGCCCCACCTGTGCCATAGAGCATGGCCAGCAGGATGGAGGAGATCCAGGCCGTGTCACTGTAGCCAATCCCAAACTCCCGAATGAGCTCCTTGAAGAAGACGCTGACGGCCTTGGGGAAGGCGTAGGAGAAGCCGGTGATGACAAAGCAGCCGAAGAGCACAGCCCAGCCCCAGCCCCCATCTGGAGCCTTGATGCCTGTGGGGCCCTCATCCACTACGGCGCCTCCCATGGCCAAGAGGGCTGGTTCTTTCTCACCTGAGAGGAAAGAAAGGAAGCAGGGCTGGCTCAGGTGCCAGGGTGGTCAGGTAGCCACAGCCCTGCAGGGGACAGGAGGAACAGAGACAGGCCAGGCATGCCAGCAGCCTGGGACTGGCACCTGGTCACTCGCCAGACCTCAGCCATGGCCAGCCTGCTGGGCTGCTCCACAGCCCTCCACATCTGGCCACCTCTACCAGCTGCTTGGGGGGCAGCAGCCAGGCCCCTTCATTCATAATCCACCCTCAGCCTCCTGCTCCCACACAGCTGGCTCTGAAAGGCAGTGGTTTTGGGGCTCAGCCAGGATTCAGATCACCTCCTGGGAAAAGCAGAGCCTGCAGGGCAGTCAGAGGGCTGGTGTGTGCTGACTGTGCTGGCGGCAGCCACGCTAGGTGGTGGTGTCCTCTGGATCTCTGCCCAGCTCCACATGGGTGTGCACAGGGCCAGCCTTGCCCTCCCTCTCCTGCCCCAAGGGAACTGGGCTCTGAGCTGACTGTGTGGGTCTGGGGCAGGAGCAGACACGGGTATAGAGGCCACAGTGTCAGGGAGCAGAAGGTGGAGGCTGCCACTTGTCCCACTTCCTATGGGTGTAGCCTGGCATCTGCCAGACCTATCCTTAGGCTCTGGAGAAAAGCTGATGGCCTGATTGGTTTGAGGAAGGTCTCGGGCTAGGGGTTCACCCAAGAAGGACAGGTAGGGGAGGTGGCTTCCAACCAACCCACTGGAGTCTCTTCTTCCTGGCCCAGGCTGGCAACACAAGGAAGCAGCCCCAAACGCCACACAGCCAGGGCTGACTTCCCTTTTTGTAAATCCAGTAGCTTATCTCATCCAGAGGCTGGGGCCAGACTTCTCTCTTCCTGCCCCACTTCCATCAGAAGTCCCCCAATCCCAGAGGTTACCCCACCTTACCAGAGACAGCTGGGACGGGGGTGGCGTCCGACACCTAGGGCCTTCAGTTCAGTCTGCTTGGCCTCTTCCCACCCGTGGTGTGTGGCCAGCCAGCTCCCTGGGGAGAGACACAGCCCTGGTGTGTAAGGTTAGCCAGTGCAGCCGATGCCCAAGAGCCCCAGGCAGGAACAGCAGGTGTGACTCCACCACAGCACCTCAGCCCTGGTTTGGCTGTCTCTTGGCGACACCTCTGCCAAGTTCCTGGCTTCCTCCTGCAAGCACAGATCCCTTGTGGGTAGCCAGACACTGCGCCCTGGGGTGGAAATCTAGGCTCAGTATGAACTGTTCCTCCAGAGGGACCCACAAGCCTTCCAAGGCAGCACCCTACCTCGGACCAGCTAGCCTTATCCAAGCTGGCGGGACAGAGAAGAGCTGTGGGTCTAGTCATGACACACCAAGTGGTGGGCAACAAGCACAGGATGCTTTTCATATAAGCACTAAATTGAAAAGACCCCACCCATCATCCCAGCTACTCAGGAGGCTGAGGCAGGAAGATCACAATGAGCCCAGCCTGGCCAGTTTAGTCTGAGCTTGTCTCAAAATTAAAAGAGCTGTAATCCCAGCACTCAGGAGGTTGAGGCAGGAGGATCTGAAAGTTCAAAGCCAACCTGGGCTACATAGTTCAGCTGAACTACATAGCAAGACCTTGTCCCCCCACCCCCCAAAAACACACCAAAGAAATACAAATAAAAGGGCTGGGGCAGCTTGGTTGGTAGAGCACTTGCCTAGCATGGGAGGCCCTGGGCTCAATCCCTGGTACTAGGGAGAAGGGGGGAACACCCCTAAGATTATGTACAGCAAGGAAACTTTGAAAAAATATGTACATTTTAGGAACACACATTCACAGTTCACACTTTCTGTGAAAAAGAAGGGTATGATCCCTAGGCCCAGGATTCGAAGGGTGGTCATAAGGACAGTGGGAAGGTGACTGTCTCCAGGGGCCCCTCCTTGGTTTGGTTGTAGATTTATAGATTTTTTTTTTTGTACTTTTAAAAATAAATCAGGTAGATACTCAAGGCCAATGAGTGGGGTGTGTCCAAAACCAGCAACAGGAATATCCCAGCTCTCTGCACCTGGCAAACACAGGTGAGAAGCCCAGGGCCTCAATCTCCTGCCACACCAGCCATGCCTAGTGCTTGCCAGGGAATCATGAGTCCCTGAGCCTTTTAAGGCCCCCTTCCTTTGCATGTCCACTGTCCCCAAGGACTGCGCCCTCCCTGGAGGCTTCAGGTTCCCCAGGAGGCAGAGAATGGAAAGCAAGGAGGTGGGGACATCTGCTCCACCTGGATCTCAGAGGGTGGGCAGAGTTGGCCAGCACTCAGAGCCCAAGAGGGCACAGCATGTTCTGGGGGCATGGGAGGCTGTGGCTGCCACGTGAGGCTCACACAGGGAGGACCACCTGTGCCAAGGAGATGATGGCTCCTGGACAGGAAGCTCCCAACTGAGGCAACCATAGTGACTGCCAGTCATCCAGCAGAGGGTGTTTCTCAGTGAGGGTTCCACTTGCCAACCAGGGCTGACTCTTAAGCCAGCTGTCTGCCAACATACCCTGAAGCAGAGCACTCCACATAGCAGGCAGCATAGAATAAGGGGCTGAGATTTCCTAGAGTGAAAGGGCCTCATGAATCCAGCCTGGTTTAGGGGAGGGAGGTGAATCCAGCTCATTTCCAAGGATGACCCAAGCACAGGTTCATACTGATCTCAAGAAAACCCTGGGCTGCCTGGCCTGGGCCTGGGGAGAAGGCATCCACCACAGGCCACCCCTGAGAGCACACCCATAGGCATGCTGCAACAGGCTGGCCTTTCAGTGACATTTACCCTTCCAGGGAAGCATGTGAACCAGCCCAGAAATAACCTGGCCTCCTGGTTGAAGAAAGCTGATCTGGGGCTGGGGGGTGCCTCTGGGTCAGCAGAGGCTCCAGTCTGCTCTTAAGGCTGGCCCTTAAAGGTCCTTTGAAGGTCCCACATACCCCAGCAGCTGAAGCTGAACAAGGGACAGCCGATGGCAGAGTGCATGGAAGACCCTTGCAATGGCCCTACTAGGAGATGCCCCTGTGTCCCTTCCCACCAGGAGAGCCCTCTGCCCACACAAACCTCCAGCCCCAACAGAAACTCTCCCCTCCCTGGCTGCTCCTGGGCCTGTACCATGAACCGTAGGAGGGCAGGCTAGGTCTTTGCAGCAGTCCAAGCCTACTCTGTGGCTCTCCCAGGTACTGGCCTTTGTGGCCCAAGCAAGTGGCAAGCATATGGACAATTACATTCCTTCCAGTCACTTTCTAGACCACTGAGGGACAAGGAGACAACCTTGTTGCAGCTTCTCGGGGTGGCAGAGGCAGGAGGGTGCACAGGGGAGGGTGCACAGAGGAGGGCAGGCCTGCTTCAGAGCTGCCCTTCCTTCCTCTTCTGTGGCTGGCGTTGTGCAAACAGGTCACCAGCAGCATGCCTCTCCCCCTCCCCACAGGAGAGAGACCAGGCGCCCCGGGGTGTGCTGGGGCATAATGCTAGGATTTTTTCCCAGAGAGCAGAGGGCCAGCCCTCCATGCCTTCAGGACGGGCCCTCTCAGCCCTAGTGCAACCTCTCCTGTGTGGCTTTACTTTACATCATCTGCTGGGGCCAGAGGGGGATGCTGCAGATTCGCCCAGGCTGAGGGGCTGAGTCCCCCAGGGATGCTGCCAAGTGGTGTCTGGGCTCCGGTCTCGTCTGAGGCTTTAGCCCTTCCCGCCACACAGAGGCAACCCTGGGGCCCGGTCTACCATGCTGTCCAGCTCCCATCTCTCAAGGCTGGGGTCTGTGGCCAGCTCTGTCTACAGCCACCCCCGCTGGGCCCTATACAGGCTCCCCTCCCCGAGGTCGCGGCCCCCCCCTCCCTAGGGGAGGCCCAGGGTCAGGAAGCGCCCCCCACCGCCCCATGGGTGCTAGCGGTCAGGTGGGGAGGAAGCCGCCTGGAAGCCAGAAGCGAAGCCCCTCCTCCTCGCCGCGGCCCGGATGCAGGAGGGGTCGGACCGACAGGGCCGGGTAGGCGGTCGCACCCGGACTGAGGCGGTGGGGCGGGGGCGGGAGGAAGATCTGCCCGCCCGGGCAGCCGCGGGACGTGGGGGACGTGACGACCGCGCCGAGGGAGGAGCCGTGCCGTATTGCCTGGAGTAGGCGCCCTGCTGGCGCTACTGTAGCGGCCGTCGTGCGCAGGGTCAGCCAGCCTCTAGGCGCCCCTCGCGGGGTGGGCCGGCCTCCTCTGCCTCCGCTGGCGCTCGGGGACGCCGGCTCACCAACCGCGGGAACCCCGGGACTCGGCACCCGATCCCCACACGGCCCAATTCACAGATGGATGCAGCGGGCAGGGGTGTGCTAGCTTGGTTGAAAATGGGAGGAGCCCAGGCGCTGTCCGCTCCCCCCCAGCCTCTGCTCCAGAGCCGGGTGTCTTGTGGCCCAGGACCTGGTTCGAAGGCGCCTCCTGTCGCTCAGCGCCATCTCCCCTGGGGCTCCTCACTGGCGCTTTCCATCCCCAGGACCACGTCTGTGGGCCCCTCCACCTGCAAGTCTTGCTGGCTGCTCTGAGGTCACCAGAGCCCTCTCCTGGCTGTCCCTACAACTTAGTGTCCATGCTCCTGGCAGTGAGGGCCATAGCCTTCTGGGTAACCGGCCCTGCCCAAGGTCAAACGGAGCGAGTCCACCTTGGTGGCCACCCCAGGCCCTGACCACACCACAGCCCTGGGCAGGAAGGCTCCACACCTGTCCAGGCAGTGCCCCCTGGCCCCTTTGGGTGCAGAGCCCCCAACCCTGTCTCCTAGTGGCAGAGCACCAGTCACTGCCCATCCAGAGGGGGTTCTACACTACTGGAACTGCCCAGCCCTCAGCACGGGCAGACCCAGCACCCACCAGACACAGCCAACTCTCAGGCCCGCGGAACAGAGTTGGGACCCTCTTGGAAACACCACCCAGGGATCCCCCATGAGACCAGCCCCAGGCTTGGTTGCTTGGAGAGGCCACCTTCCTTTTGCTGTCCCTCAGACCATTCAGTGGGCCTGATTCGAGTCATCACACACTGATTCTGTCAGCCTGGGGGCCTGGACAAGCAGCCCAGTGCTTCTGGGACAAGAAGGACACGGGCCCCCCGCTGCTCTTATTTGGAGCCAGTCTCCCAAGAGGCCCAGAGCTAACGGCTTTCCTCCCTCTGAGTGCCGGATTCTGGATCGCCCAGCATCCAGGTAAGCACCTCATCCACCCACTTTCAGACAAGGAAATTGAGAGCCCTGTCTGGTTTTCCCGCAGGCTGTGGAGCAGCAAGGGCAAGGCTGGGGGTACCTCGATTCTAGAGGGGGCCCTCTACCTCTGCCCCGGGTTTGGACTCAGCTATATACCGAAGGTGAGCGTTAGATGGTGAGTTAGGAGAAAGAAGGGCCGAGAGATCACTCCCTCGCGTGGGCCCTGGCCCAGAGCGCACGTGCGCCCCTCTCCTTCGGGGACACCCACCAAGTATAGTCCTCGCGCCCTGGCCACAGACCCAGCTATTTATACTCAGGACAGACTCCGCTGCCCGGCACGGCCACCTCCTGGCCGGAGCCCAGCCCCCGAGGGCAACCCGACGGATGGTTGCCCCGGGAAGGCTGGGGAGCCGGGTTGCTGGTACCCCGTGGTGGGAAGCACGGGGGCTGGGAGGGCTCGGCTGAGCCGGGTCGCCCCGGGCCCCGGGGGCAAAAGAGTAAGGGTGAGGAGCCGGGGTGCAGCTCGAGGTCCCCGCCCCGGCCCGCACACGGAGCATCCCGGACGCGCCTACCTGCCGCCACTGCCTCTGCTCGCCCTGCCCGCCGCGGATGCCAGGCGCCGCGCCGGGGGCGACTTTAAGTGCTCTCCCCGCTCGCGCGGCACGTCCCCAGCGCGTCATCGGCGCCTGGCGCCGCCCCCCG